AATCAAAAAAAATATTAATTTTTATCTTTTATTAGTCTAAAAATAACAATTAATTTCAAATATCGAAATTGTAGATTTTGTAGACTTATATGTATGTTCTCCAGTGACTCGTGTTAGCTAGAGTTTACTGAAGCTGTCTAGATAGGACAGAAATTGGAGTTCTACCATTAAAAGTTGTAATTTAAATTAGCCATTTCATATAATTTTGTGGAGCAGAGTCTATCTAAAAAAAAAAACAAGCACAGATTAATTTGGATTTAAAGTGCCAACGTAAATGTTCATAGATTTAGTGAAAAAGTTTTTTCAAGAGAACCGTATTTTGTATATATATTATTTATAAATCTAAACAATGGCTAGGCATGCTAACATACTGTAAAAGCTTAAATAAGTTTAAAAAAAGTAAGTTCCACACAAATATAGAACTCTGGAGTGAGTATATGTTATTTTCAGGGCTTCGAACCGGAATTTTTTCCGTTCTGGTTTTCGATCCGGTTCAAAACAAAAAAATAACAATTCGGTTCCGGTTTTCGCTTCGATAAATATATCTGTTTTTTTCGGTTTTTGGTTCCGTTCCGGTTCGAAGCCTTTGATTATTATAGAACGAAGCCTTGGTTATTATATATAAAAATGGCAACTGTAGGGTACTCTAAATTAAAATTTGTTAAGAAAATCCAAGTAATTTGGGAAGTATTTGTCTATTCAGGTCAAGAACCTATATTTTTGTAGAGTAAATGTATTTGAACAGTTAGAACTGTTGATTTTCAAATAACTTTATCATGTCAAATATACATATAGCTATATGCTTCAGAAATATGTAAATTAAATGTATTCAGCTATATAAGTACCTAACTTGACAATAACGTTTTCAATTTAAATGTTTAATTAAGTGAAGATGATTGCGAATTATAGAAGTTTTATTTTACTGCAATTTTTTGCATTTGTAATTGGCACTTATATAAAAACTTGTCAGGACTCATGTGATCAGGAACACAGTAAGCAAGATAGACCTGTATGCGGTGAATGCATCGATAATAGAGAAGTTACCTTCAAAAGTTCATGTCATCTATTTTGTGATTATGGTAATATGAAATCAGATAAGATATTTGAACAATTATATGAATTTTATAATTGGAATATTCTAGATTGTTATTTAGTATCTTCTGGCGCTTGTCCATCGCATAACACTGAAACTAGCACAGCACTTATAACAAGTGCTACTCCTCGGAATTGTGATGATGAATGTCGCAGTGTAGCCGTAAGTGTACCAGTTTGTGGAAATTGTAATGGACATTTGAAAATGTTTAATAATATGTGTTTATTAAATTGTAATGAAGAAAGTGAGTATGTTTGATATTAATTAAAAGTGAAAAATTTTTGTTAGTCGCAAATTCTTTGTAATACTAACTACAATGTATATTGTATAGATTGCGTATATGAGTCATATGGACATTGTACACCATCTACAACCATTACAACAAAACAACCGACTATAACTACAACAACAAAAGAGCCAACTACAACCACAACAACAAAACATCCGACTACAACCACAACAACAAAACATCCGACTACAACAACAACAACAAAAGAGCCAACTACAACTACAACCACAACAACAAAACACCCGACTACAACAACAACAACAACAAAACACCCGACTACAACTACAACAACAACAAAACATCCGACTACAACCACAACAACAAAACAACCGACTACAACAACAAAAGAGCCAACTACAACCACAACAACAAAACAACCGACTACAACCACAACAACGAAAGAGCCAACTACAACCACAACAACAAAACAACCGACTACAACCACAACAACGAAA